TTCTGGTGCAGCTGACCACATGGAGTTGAGAGTGGGGGGTATTTATACCTTCTCTTGGGCTTTGCACTTTAACGTCCTATTTCTGTGCAAGAACATGTATTCTATTGACTCTTGTAGGGGTCATAGCTTGCTCTGTAGGTTGTCTGAGCTAAGTTTGGTTGAAGTTTGGAGGGTGATGCAATGTCCTTAGGAGTTTGTGCAATGTGGTGAGCTCTGCTGCTAGATGGTGGTGGGTTAATCTTATTAGGTCCTGAAGGGTCTTGTCTTAATCCCATTACCCTGGAACTGGAGGTCTTTTGTTTTGTAGATAGGCTGTCCCAATCTTTCTCAATGGGCACAAAATATCTGCTGGGTGCTATTAAGAAAGGTGGGGGCTGCTTTCCAAGAACATGTTTCTCCATTTCTCCCTTTAGGGAAATATAATATTCTGCCTTTTTAATGTTTCTCAAAATATTTCATTCTTCTAGGAGAGGGGTGGAAGCTAACTTTCTACACCTATGATCTCAGTTCAGATCAACTATTCTCGTAATGATTTTTATCACTGTCCAAAAGTCATATTTGTGTTTGTTTGTGTGTGTGTGAGAGAGAGAGACAGAGATAGGGAGAGAGAGAACAAATTGTTGACATTTGAAGGAACAGCAGGGGGATAGGTTTTTCTTGACAAATTAGGTGCAAGTGGTTTTTTATACTAGATGCATTCAAACATATGGTTGATCAGTTATTATTATTTTTTCATTCTTGGCAAAATTGAAAGAAAGGTGAAGGCAAAGTTTTCCCTGTGGGGATAAGGATTTCCAGATTTCAGATAAATCAACTCAGGGATATTCATGCAAAAGCTTCCTTTACATTTTTCCCCCCTCTCTCCTTAAGCTGCTAAAAGATTTGGAGAAATTGTGGAACAGGAAATGGCTTGGAAGCAAGCACTGAAGCAATCGACAAGCAGTTACTGGAAGAAAAACTGCAGTCTAGCTGTTCAACAGAAAAAGGGACAGGAATGCAAAAGAAAAAAAAATCTGGCCAAGGAACTGTGTGTTGAAACATAAATATCCCTTTTGCAGTTCCCAGAGCATCCAGGAATGAACAGGGTCAAGTTGGGATTTTTTTTCTTGCTTCTTTAAGGGTCCTAAGCTTTGCAGATATTTAAGGGACCCATGGCAGCCATTATTAATTGGTCTTCTCCAGTTTTGCAATATGACTTACCCACAACACCAAACTTTAGTGGGTAGAGCTCATTCTGTGTTACAGGATTTTTGTGACAGCCTTAGATCAGGAGTGTCAAATTCAATTTCATTGAGGGCCTCATCAGGGTTGTGTTCAACCTCAGGGGGGGTGGGGGCTGAGTGGGCATGGCCAGGGTGAGTGTGGCCAGCTTGATGTCACTTGTGTTGGGGCACCTGTGGCGGCCCGAGCGCTCTGCCAGCAAAAAATGAGCTCACGAGCTCCATTTTCAGCTGCGATGGTCTCCTGCAACCCTCTGCCAGTGAAAATAGACCTCAGGAGAGCTACCTGTGGCCCTCACAAGCTCTATTTTCACTGGCACAGACACTGCAGGCTGGTCCTTTGCTGTTTCCAGGCATGCCCTGCAAGCCAGATCTAAGCACCCTACGGGTTGGATCCAGCCCCTGGGCCTCCAGTTGACACCCTCACCTTAAATTATCTCCTTTTATAGTCCCAACCATTATAGGCAAACAATGTTAGAAACAGACCTTTATAATGCCTTGGTAAAACTACGTCTGCAATATGCTACATCCAGTTTTGGTCACCACAATATAAAAAAAGAGGTTGAGACTCTGGAAAGAGTGCAGAGAAGAGCAACAAAGAAGATTAGAGGCTTGGAGGCTAAAACATACAAAGATTGGTTGCAGGAATTGGGTATGTCTAGTTAATGAAAAGAAGGACTAGAGGAGACATGATAGCAGTGTTCCATTGTCTCAGGGGCTGCCACAAAGAGGGAGTTGAACTATTCTCCAAAGCACCTGAGGGTAGGACAAGAAGCAATGGGTGGAAACTAATCAAGGAGAGAAGCAACCTAAAAATAAGGAGACATTTTCTGACAGAACAATTAATCAGTGGGAACAGCTTGCCTCCAGAAGTTGTAGATGCTCCACCAGAGGTTTTTAAGAAGAGAATGGACAGCCATTTGTCAGAAATATTATATAGGTCTCCTGGTTGAGCAAGGGGTTGGACTAGAAGACCTCCAAGGTCGCTTCCAACTCAGTTATTCTGTTTATTTCCTCTGAGAAAAGATGCAAAGATGTAAATGTGGTTGGCATGTTCACAGAGAGTACCTTAAATTGCAAAAGGCATGTTTCAAATAACATAATATTGTGTGTGCATGAGAGAGATGGAGAGGGAGAGGGAGAGAGAGAGTTATCTGACTAAAGTATTTTAATGGGTTGATTTCTGTTGCATACCTTTCTCTAGAGTTATGGATTTGCCTGTCCATCATCAATGATAATAGAATCAAGAGTGGCAGGATGGATAAAAACTTACAATGTGGTGCAAGCTTTTCAGCATAATGAGTTCACAACAGTCTCTCTCTTAGGTCAAAATTAGTGAATAGAGTCAGGTCATCCAAATTATTGACATCAAATGTAATATAAATACATGAGGGGAGGGCAGATATAACATTCTGATCAATCCAGACACATCCCTCCTTGTAAGAATATTGTGAGTTGATGCACGTACCTAAATTAGGAATGAAGTGATGACTACAACTTTTGTTCTGCTGTTTTGCTTCCCTGATGAATGTTGTTTTCAATCCTGGTTTGCTTAAGTAATGATTAAAAAGTTAACATGAAGAGCCGTGGTGGCATTCTGATTAGAATGCAGTAGTACAGGCTAATTCTGCCAACTGCTAGCAGTTCAATCCTGACCAGCTCAAGGCTGACACAGCCTTTGGACCCAGATTATTGGGGGCATCAGGCTGACTCTGTTAAACTGCTTAGAGAGGGCTCTAAAGCACTTTCAAACAGCATGTAAGTGGTATTGCTATTGCTATTTCCACTGTTATAGGAAGCTAGCCTTAAAATGTTGAATGGTGTTATGCAAAAAGAAAAGACTAATCATCTAACTGGAATTTGCAATGGACCATAATGGCTAAGGATGCTGTAATAGGGGTAATTTATTAATTGATTAGTCTTATGACCATATCAAAGAAAATAAAAGTAAAATACAGGATGTAATTCTAGGGTAAAATTGGTCAAACAGAATACAGAAATAAATACCTGTATTGTAATCAAGCATTTGGATAAATACATCACCTTTATTTATATGTATGTATATTTATGTTTATGTACATGTACATGTACATACACATAACCACACAAACACACACATGTATGTGTATTCATATATACACGTATATATCAGTGGTGAAATTTTAAAAATATTACTACTGGTTCTGTGGGCATGGCTTGGTGGGCGTGGCAAGGGAAGGATACTGCAAAATCTCCATGCCCACCCCACTCTGGGGCCAGCCAGAGATGGTAATTGCCAGTTCTCCAAACTACTCGAAATTTCCACTACTGGTTCTCCAGAACCTGTCAGAACCTGCTGAATTTTACCCCTGGTGTGTATGTATGTGTATGTACGTACACACACACACACACACACACACACACACACACACACACACACACACACACACACACACACA